CATGTTCGTGTTTGAAGCATTTCACTGGTTTCAGGTCTAAGTGCATTGGGGAGGTGGGTGAGGAAGCAGAACAGTGAAGAAAAACTTTTGAAATGTTTCCACAAAAATCAAAGAACAAACCGACCGGAGGGGAAAATAGCTGCTATATTTAAACTGCATTATCCCATCAGGGAGCTATGGTTTTGAAAACCGACCCACAGTACTTTGTTTGGCACTGTTCTGTGGGGTTTTTCTTTTCTTCTTTCTTTTTAAGATGGCAACTTTTTTTTTTTTCAGAGCAGTAATCTCAAAGAAAGTGAAGGGCTCCGCTGATTAATTTGGCAGCTATTTTCTGCATGCCTACTGGGTGCCCAGCACTGCGCTCGCCAGCAGGGACACAAGTAAGGGAGGACTCAAGGTCCTCTGTGGAAATCATCATGTATCCACTGTGTGACCTTTTCAGTACCTTCAAGGTCCTCCTGATCCCTTTCTCCTGGGGTTTATGATTGGTGATGAAGACAGGCAACCAAAGGTGATATGAAAGTGCTATGAAAAACAGAAATGAATTAGTCATATGTGCATTTGTTTGCTATTCCTCTGTCTAAGACATTGCTCTTGGCCCTGGATGTTCAAATACCTCTACATTATTCATGGCTCACTTCTCAGAGAGAGCTGACCGCCCTCTTGTCACGCTCCCAAAGGAGTCCGTGGCCTAGTCAAGTGGAAATGTCAGGTTGGCAGCTGGGTGTATGAATCTGGACATGAAAATGAGTATGTCATCAATATTTAAGGAGAGTTTAAAGCAATGGGCATAGGAAAGGTTGTAGATAGGAAGAATACCAAGTCCTAAGCTCTGGGACACCCCACATTAAGAACAGGCCTGGTTCGGTGGGGCTGGCCTGTAATCCTAGCTACTTGGAAGGCTGAGGCAGGAAGATGACAAGTTTGAGGCTAGCTTTAGACAACTTAGTGAGACTCTGTCTGAAAATAAAAAATAAGGGCTAGAGATATGGCTCAGTGGTAAAGCAACCCTAGGTTCGTTCCTAAGTGTTGCAATATATGTGAAGAAATAAAGTTAAAAAGAGAGCTGGGCATGGTGGCATAGGCCTGTAATCTCAGCACTCTGGGAGGCTGAGGCAGGAGGATCACAAATTTTAGCCCTGCCTGGGCAATGTAATGATTGACTGAGATCCTGTATCAAAATAAAAAAAATAAAAAGGGCTCAGTATGAAGGCCCTGAGGGGAGGCACACAAGAAGCCTGAAGAGGAGCAGGCAGAGAAGCAGCAGCCACTCATTTCTGGGGTGCCACGGATGGAAGCGATGAGAGAGGCCACAATCATGGCTTCCAAGGCAAGGTGGAATTTGAACCTGCATCCTGGAGGATGCCAGGGGTTCACCTGGCAGTTCTGAGCTGAAGGATCAGTCTGAGCAGAGGTCCAAGGAAAGGCACGCTGTGGCAGGAGGTTAGGGACAGAGGGGAGGTTGCAGCAGGTGGACAGCAGACATAGCACTTGCTGCAGTGCCAGGATGTGGTGCCGCTCTAACCAGGCTCCCAGTGTTCCGTGCTGGTGATTTCCACTGCCTCCAAACCCATTCAATCTTTGACTTTTTTCAGTGAAGTGAGTGAGCATCTTTTGTTTGGCAGACCCAACATTTGCAGGCCTTTCGGATAACACAGGATTTTCCTGTGTGGCTGTGTTTACCAGGGGGCCTGAGCTAGCAGCACCCATACCAGCCAGCAGCTTGTTAGAAATGTGAATTCCTGGGCCCACCTCAGACCTACTGAATGCGATTCAAGATGGTGGGCTCAGCAATCTGTTTGCAGGAGGCCTCCCGGAGAGGCCAAGGAATGCCAAAGCCTGAGAGCCACCACCTGGAACTTCCTTCCCAGCTCCCAGTAAGTCATATGCCCCATGAGGCTAACCACGATCTCTGCATTCAGGGCTGGGCACAGGACACAGAGAAAACTTAGGGCTTTCTCTCCATTAAAATCGCTAAACTGGTGGATTGTAAACTGGAGATGCTATGGGCCGTATCCGCCTCTTGGCCCAACAGAATTAAGAGACAGAGATTCTCAGTGACTCTGAGTATTTCATGGAGCCATTGTGAGTTTGAAGCCTACTCTCCCAGGAAGCCCCTTTTCTTGTTTTTGTTTTATTTTGTTTGGTTTTTGAGACAGTCTTGCTATGTAGACTATGCTGGCCTTGAACTGACTATGCAGCCCAAGCGGGCCTTGGACTTACAGTGATCCTTCTGCCTCAGCCTCCCGAGTGCTGGGATTATATCTGTGTGCTACCATGTTTGGCAGAAGTCCCTTTTTTATAAGCACCAGCTGAAGAGTTAGAGTTTTGGATCCCCAGCAATGAAAGAATGCTTATTGTCACCACTCAGGAAACTGAGGCAGCAGGATTGCTGTAAAGTTTGAGGCCAGGCTAGACTGCATAGTGAGACCCAGTCTCAAAAACACCAAAACAAACAAACAAAACAACAACAAAAACAATGCTTATTAATCCAGTGGTGAGGGAGGGAGGGAGGTTCTGCAAAGATTTCTGTTAAATTTTGCAAATTCTCAGGTGTTAAGGTTAATGTTTGTGGTATGGAGAAATAGGTGGTCATGAGGTGCTAGTGTGTGCTCACAACACAAGCCACACCAAAATGAACACATTTCCATGAGAAGATGGCCAGAGTGGGGATCTGGAGACTACTGTAGATGAGGCATCTGGAGCACAGTCCTTTTTTTTTTTGGTACTGGGGATTGAACTCCGGTCCTTGCGCTCACGCAGCAGGCGGCAAAACCACTGAGCTAAATCCCTGGCCCTTGGAGCATAATCCTTTTATTAAATTCTCATGGACAGCAGGGCATGGTGGTGTACACCTGTAATCCCAGCTACTGGGGAGGCTGAGGCAAGAAGATTGCAAGTGTGAGACCAGCTTGGGCAACTGAGTGATTTAGTGAGGACCTGTCTGGGGCTGTAGCTTGGTGAGAAGGCCGAGTTCAATCCCCAGTACTGTAAAGAAAAAAAATCCTCATGGACACAAGAGAGAAATGTAGGCTTGGATATTGCATAGACTGATATTTGTGTAGTCACTGTAGATGACTTTGCGTGATAAAGAATTTCAACAGTGCAGGTTTTCAGTCCTTTGTTCCATTCAACAAGCTGTGTCCCCAAACAAGTAAGAGATGGCAGATGGTACTCTGTTGGAAGACTTAGCTCCCAGCAGCCTCTCAGTGTAAGCATCTTACTCTGCCAGTCATTCCTGGTTCTAGTGAAGAAATGGATGCTTTTCATATAATAAGACTCTCAAGCCAAGCTGACTACATGAGGTGCTGAACCAAAGAGAAGTGATGTGTTCCAACACTGTATCTTGGGTGAGAAGGGGCCAGAGCTCCTTTGAAGTTCTCCACTCTTCTGACTTTGGAACCTGTCATCAAGATAATTTGTAACAGGGCCAGGGATTTAGCTCCGTGGCGCTGCACCTGCCTCACAAGTGCAAGGTCCAGAGTTCCATCTCCAGTACCAAAAAACAGAAGATAACTTGTACCAGTTTAACAATTAAATATGGTTAAAGATGAAGACTCCAAACACTAGAACAGACTTTATAGATGGACCCCAATGAGCATGAGAATATTCAGTTACAGGGCGAGTTCAGTGTCCAGGTTAAAAAAAAAAATCAACAGTGCAGGTGCATGATAAGCAGATTGAGCCTGACTGCAGTTTCTATAGAAAAGACTGAGTTTGAGTTGGTTGTTAACACAAATCAGCATGCGGGGGAAGGACCCAGAACCAAGGTGGGCGGTGAAAGACTCCCCTGCAAGGCCAGACTTCTGCAATCAGTGCTGGGCACATTTTTAGAAGTAGACAAAGGTGCTGAGGGATTGCAGATCACGCTATTGGAAGACAGCTCAGGGAGTGAGCTTTTCTTTTTAGTTAGGATTTTGGTGTAATAAATATCTTGAAATACTCAAAGGGATCTCACACAGAAGAGGGATTAAACTTGTTCAGAGAGGTTTCAGAAGACTAAATAAAAACCACTGTACAGCAGAAGTTATCTAAGGGGAGGTGGATTTAGCCCGGATGAGACTGCTTTCATGCCTAGAGCTGTCCAAACAGGGAACAGGCCCCCTTCGCAACCTCCATCCCTATAGAGGAGAGTGTTAGAGCATTGGGAAGTTGGCTGGGGGCCTCGTTTGCAAGTCACTCTTTCTACCGGCTTTTCCTGCCTTTTTCCAGCTAACTCTTCCTCTATGAATGCCTTTGAAGTTCTTTGATCAAGTCATCTTTCTTTCTTTCTTTCTTTTTTTTTGGTGCTGGGGATCAAACTCGGGACCTTGCGCTTTCAAGGCAGGGGGCGACATCACTGAGCTAAATCCCCAGCCCAGTCATCTTTCTGAATTACAGTTTCTCTTCTTTTTTCCTTCCTGTCCTCAATTGATATGGCTGCAATCATTATTGAAAAGGAATATCTCAGAAACCTATTCTTACTTTTAAAACTTTATTAACAAGGAGATAATGCAATGCATAAAATAGACTGAGCATAGTTTTATTTTTATATAAGATAAACTAGATATTTTTGCTTTAGGGAGGCTGGATTTATGATCAGTTTTGGCAACCTAATAACAGTTTTCAGAGAAGCCAACAGGTTGAGGAACCAAGAGTGTATGATATGGTACATGGCACTGATTCTGGGCTACAAATCACACTATTTCAGTTTAAGGGAGTAGTTCAGCCTCCAGTAAATAAAAATTTTGCAAGGAGCAGTCTAGAGGGCAATGGAATGTGTAAAGATTCAACTTTCTTGGGGCCGGGGATTTAGCTCAGTGGTTCCGACTCCTGCCTCGAAAGTGGAAGGACCTGAGTTCGATCCCTGGTACCAAATAAAAAAAGATTCAACTTTCTTGGCCAGGGATGTAGCTCAGTGGAGCCACAACTGCCTGGCAAGCGCAAGGCCCTGAGTTCGATCCCTGGTACCATACACACAAACACACACACAAAAGATTCACCTTTCTCAGTTCACCCCATTGTAAGCACCTTAGTAGATGAATTTACTGCTTTGCCACAGACCCCAAAGCAACAAATGCCCACAGACTGAAAGCTCTGAAATCCTGTACACAGCAGAGTTTCAATGTCCTCCAGGCCTGGCTGGCTCCAAAGTCTGCTGTTTCTGCCCTGCAGCCACTGCCAGTATGTTTCCCACAGTGAGGTAACACACTATGGGGCATCCTGTGATTTCATAAAGAAGTCCTGGGTGAATCTTGATGGACTGCCGGTGCTGAGGAAGTACTGAAGTGGTTCTGCCTTGAAACCTGGTTCAGCACCTGACCATGGACCTCAGTTTTCTCACTGGGAAGATGATGGGATTGATCTAGATGGCTAGTGTCAAAGAGTACAAAGGAACGATGAAGGATCGTGAGCAACAGCAGCAGTCTTCCACGAAGGATCCAAGGACTAAGGCTCCTGTCAGTGACGTGTGGAGGCACATGACGTCCAGGTAGAGGATGCTGTGGCCAGAGTTTGGAGTGTGGCACTTCCTGTGGCTGGAGAAATGGCTAGAAGTGAGCATCATCCATTCAGTCTGAGTATGTTGCCATTTGGCAGCTGAGGAGAACAAAGTTGGTATCAGCGACACGTTTCCCAGCAAGTGGCTTGGGACAGACTTTATAGGATCCCACAGAAGAGACAGGACCCTTGGACTCGGGACCAAGAGCACCTGTGAAGTGTGGGTGTTGGCCCTCAGCTGGGGCTCTTGGGGACCATGACTGTTAGCTAAGCTAACTGAGGAAGAGTAGGTTTGGGGGAAAGCAGTGATGCTGATGGCTTCATTTATGGAGGGCTTGTTTGGGAGTAGGCTCTGGGTCCCCCTGAACCATTTCATTCATGCACAGAACTGACAGATGACTCAGGCACGTGGGAAGCTCGGAGAGCCGCTGTGGTCCTGAGAGCTGGTGCAGGCGCTTAGAGGAGGACCTCTCACCCCTGGGGCCACAGCCTGTGCCATCCCTCCCAGCCCCTCAAACAGGTGAAACAGAGGCCCCAAGATGACACCATGTCACCCTCCTCTTCTGGGGTAGCAGAGCCCCTCGTTTCTAGTCAGCACATGGCTGCCCAGGCAAAGACCACATTTTGCAGCCTCACTTGCAGCATCTTATGTCCCAGTGACCTCAGCCCCACAGTGAGCAACAGGTTGTGAGCAGGAGTAGTGCCATTTCCCTGTGTGGGTCTCAAAGGACTCAGAAACATTAGGGACCCCCCAAAATTAAAGACCCAATCATAAAATGGGCAACTCAAATGAGTAGATACTTCTCAGACAAAGTACAAATAGCCAAGAAATATATGAAAAATGTTCAGCATTGCTGGCCATTGGAGAAGCAACTTAAAAAAACACGGAGATTCCACCTTACTCCAGAAAAAATGGCCATTTTCAAGAAATCAAGTAACAAATACTGGGGATGCTGCAGGGAAAAAGGAATCCTTCCATATTGTTCGTAGGAATGTAAACTAGTACAAGCACTATGGAAATCAGTATGGAGAGTCCTCAAAAACTAAAACTAGAAATTGCATTTGACCCAGCTATTCCCCTTCTTGGTATTTTCCCGAGTTAAAGGCATCATATTACAGTGATCCATGCATACTCCTGTTTATAGTAGCACAACTCATAACAGCTAAATCTTGAAAGTGGCCTATATGTCCATCAACAGATGAATGGAAAAAAAAAACTTGGTGTTTACATGAACAAAGTACTGTTCTGCCATAAAGAAGGATAAACTTGAGTCATTTGTAGGAAAATGGATGCTCCTTGAGACCATGATGTTAAGTGAAATAAATCAGACACACAAGCTAAAAAAAAAAAAGATTCACCTTTCTCATCTCTGAGAAACCTAGAATGCAGTCTAGCCTTGTTTTTTTTTTGGTACTGGGGATCGAACTCGGGTCCTTGCGCTTGCACAGCAGGTGGCGAAACCACTGAGCTAAATCCCCAGCTATTAGCCTTGTTTTTTATAGTTATTTATTTTTTGATACTGGGGATTGAACTCAGGACCTTGTGCTTGCCAGACAGGTGCTGTGCCACTGAGCTAAGTCCCCAGCCCTGTCTTTTTAGTTTTTTGGTACCGGGGATCCAACTCTGGACCTTGTCCTTGTAAGGCAGGTGGCAGAACCACTGAGCTAAATCTCCAGCCCCCTTTTTTTTTGAGACTTAGTCTCGCTATTGTAGTTCAGGCTGACCTACAACTCACTATGTAGCCCAGGCCAGCCTCAAACTCAGGGCCATCCTCCAGCCTCTGCCTCCTGAGGGCGGGGATTACAGGTGTGCACCACCTCGCCCTGTTTAGCCTTGTTTTTGTCCCTTTTCAAACTGACTAAACTTCACATAAGGCAAGTTGTTCAGAGGCCTTCCAATGTATTTCCCAAATAGAAATCAATGAACTTGAGCAAAAATTTGCTGAGGGCCTCCTACGGGTGAGGGATTTTGCAAGTGCAAGATGAAGAGCGTTCATACAACGGGTGTTCAATAAGTGATGAGGGTGTCCATTGGGACTGTGCTGTATGCTGAACGTGGACAAGATAGACAAGATCTGTACTGGAGCTTGTAGCCTGTTGCTCCATGACCCCCTAGGAAACAGGCAGTAAGTCAGGAATAAATGTTATGAAAAGGTACCAAACCGAGTATGGTGATAGAGGAGGGCCTGGGGAGGGAGAGCCACTTTAGATAATCAGCAAAGGCATCTCTGAGGAGCGACCTGTAAGCAGTTGAGATCCGAACGATAAGCTGGAAGGGGGTTTCCCAGGACCTGAAGGAAGTGCCTTCCAGACAAAGGCTGAAGTCAGGATCCCCTCAGGAAGCTCGGCACTGAACAGGTACTCGCAACCCCAAGCAGATGGCACCACATCACGCCTCCAAAGTCGACTGCCTAATTTCCAGGCTGGAAAAGGTAATCCTCAAGCCTTCGGGGCTTCTGTTGGTGCCAAGAGACGTGGTAAGGCCCAAGTGGTAAGAAACAGTGCAGAGCTGGTCTCGGAGGGCAAAGCCCTCCAGGACCACACCCCGCAGTCACGTGACCCAACCAGTTTCCACCTCTCGTCTCCTAGGGAGTGTGTCGACGCCATACAGTAGAATTCCTGTTTGTTTGTGTAGGGTTCTGTTGGTCCTTTTCCAAGTATCAATCAAAACTGCATGCCAGCCTCCACTCCTTGGAAATAATTAAATGAAGTGACGTGCCCGATTTTTTTTTCAGCCGGGTAATGCGCTGTGATTTGCATCATCTGTTGAAGGAATCTATCTTAAATCCTAAGGCTGTACCATGTGGGACGACTGAGGTCGATTTTTTTTCCCTCTGCTTATGCTCACGTGGATGGTGCCATATTGCTAAACACACGCACAAGTGGACTGCTTTATTCGGCAACCTATTCCTTTAAGAAAACTGCTCCTCTTTGTAAATACGTCTCTGAATTCAATGCAAAGAAAGGGTCCTTCCCATTTAGTAGGATGACATCTCTAAATTGACAGCGCTGAGACCTAGGCTTTGTACAGACTTCAAGGACAGCACAAATGTGATTAAAGAATAGGTTTTGGGTTCAAGGGTCTTTTTCTTCCAGCCAGGGGAACCAGGATCTGTACAACAGCCTTTATCTCAACGGCAGAGGCAAGCACCTCCGAGGACAAGTCTAGGTGCCACGTTTAGCAGCCACAGCAGCATAACCGGTGATTTCTATGCAGACAGGCGAGTGGGCTATTAAAGAAGAAATAAAACCACCTCCCTCTGCTCCCTGGAGTGGGATTCCCTCAGCCAGGGCACCGAAGCCGCAAGAGAAGGGCTGGTGTTGGCGTGCGAGGGAGCTCTCGGCGGCTCGGGGTGTGGGATGCGGTGTTCCTGAGGCGACAGTTGAGGGATTTTGGCTGTGTGGGAAGGGAACTGCGGAATTCCTCCCCTCGGCTCCTGAGGGGGGGCTCTCAAGGAGACAGATTAGGATGCGGAGAGTGGCCCAGGCTGTTGAGGGCGAGGAGGCGAGTCAAGGACACCAGCCCGAGGGTGCTTCGGGGACACCCAGCGTGGACCGTCCCCTCCCAGTCCTCCCAGCCACCACGCGGCCCCAGGCAGACCTCGAAGGGCTGGCGGTCCCCAGGGGGCAGGGAGTGCAGGGAGGTCCCCGTGAGTTCCGGACCCCACGTCCGCGGGTGGACCGGGCCTGAGAACGGCCCAAGCCGACGAGGGCCACCACCCGCCTTCCGCAGATCCCCCGGGAACAGCGCACACTGCGCGGGCGCGGCACGGAGCGCGCGGCCTCGATCCGGGTTCCTGGGGGCGGCGCGCGCGAGGGGGCGGGGCCTGCGCGGCAGCGTGGGCGCGCGGCGCGCGGGAGGGAGGGCGCCGCGGGGAGGAGGTGGGGCCGCGCCGCCCGCGCCGCGCTGGGCGCTCTCGGCCAATGAGCGGCGTCCACATGCCGCGGCGGTGGCGAGAGGGGAGGCAGCGGCCGATAAATGCTATTAGAGCAGCCGCCGCGGAGCCGTCCCCGACGCCACCTCCTCCTCCGCCACAGTTTCCTCCGCCGTTGCCGGGGGTGCGGAGTTCAGGGACCCCGGCCAGCGCGCCGCACACCTTCCTGTCGGCTCGCTGTCCTTGTTCAGTTCCGCTAGGAGGGTCGCCAGGGCGCCCCCTCCTCCGGCCCGGGCGGAGCCGCGGATCATCTCGGCGGGGAGAGGGCTCGGAAGCCGCGCGAGGCCTGCGCTCCCCGTGGGCAGCTGAGGGCCAAGGAGGCCCTCCTTTTTGACGCGGGGAGGGAGGGTCGGGATCCCGGGGCGGCCGCCGCGAGAGGGTCGGTTGTCTGGGGGAGGGGGCGGGGGGTGATTCAGCGCACGGCGAGGCGGAAGCGGCCGAAGAGGAGGAGGAGGGGGAGAGCCGGTCGGCGCTTGGGTGCCCGGGGTGGCACGAGCCCGCCGCTCGAGTGCGAGGCGGAGGCGAGGAGGCCGCGGGGACGGGAGGCGAGGCCGGCCGGGCCCCCGCAGCCATGGAGAACGCGCACACAAAGACAGTGGAGGAGGTGCTGGGCCACTTCGGCGTCAACGAGAGCACAGGGCTGAGCCTGGAGCAGGTCAAGAAGCTCAAGGAGAGATGGGGCTCCAACGGTAGGTGCCCGGCGTCCGGGCTGCAGGGGCCCCGCACGGCCGCCGCCGGCCCGAGAGCCTGGGAAGATGGCTGACCGGCTCCACCTCGTGGGTCTCGGCCCCGCGCTCGCCGACGGCTGCGGGCAGCGGGTTAGCCCGCGCGCCGGCCCCGCGGGAGACTACTGCGGGCGGGGTGAGGGACTGCGATTCGAGATCCGGCCCTCGATTCCCGGGGTTTGGAGCCTTTAACCTTTGCGCCGCGCAGCCGGCCGGGGTGGCGGGGGGGACGAGCTGCTGAAGCGGGGTTGAGCCGAGCGAGACGTTTGCTCGTCCCCAGCCGACAGAGGAGGCGTCGATGTAGTCGAGAAACCCTCTCCTGGTTCTCGTGCTATCCGAAGTTACGCATCTGGCAGGAGTGATGACCTAGCTGAAACGACACCTTGTTTCAGGAAGCCTGAGTGATTTTTCCGGCTAGATCTAAGGCTACCGATTACAAGTCCTGCATATTTTCCTGGGGTACCGTTTTAGGATGCTTTGTATTAAATTACACTTATATGTTTAAGTGTCTTTCAAAAATATTGATGCTTATAATTCTAACAGTTATTTTTAGAAAGAGTGCTAATTTTTTTTTCCCTTTCTTTTCTCTTGACACGTGCCCGGCGAATTTCTGCTTTAGAGTTACCGGCTGAAGAAGGTAGGGAATCTTAACACGTTACTTGTGTGTGTGTTCGCGCGTGTCTGTGTGGTCCCCCCCCCCTCCCGCGTGCGCTCTTGTGTGCGTGTGCATACAGATGTTAAAGGACAATTAATGACAAGTATGTTTGTTTCTAACAGGAAAAACCTTGCTGGAACTAGTGATTGAGCAGTTTGAAGATTTACTAGTTAGAATTTTATTGCTGGCAGCATGTATATCTTTTGTAAGTATATTAAAATTTATTTTCTCTGCCTACCCCCAACCGAAAATATTCCATAGACCATAAAACAAATGGTGTCTGTTGGGCGAAAACGTGGAGATTTAAACTGTCGTCATGTTTAAAAACAAAATAACCTAGGTATTATAAAATTATAAATAAAACATTTAAAGCTGTTTACATTCATAAAATAGATGATTGTCATTTACAGTGAGTGAGAAATTGTTCCCGACTATACAGGATCTTATGCATTCATGTAGTTTATCAGGCAGGCGTGGCACCAACTGAGCTAAATCCCTGACCCCAGTTTATCAGCTTTTAGTAGCAAAAAGTTCTTCATTGGGAGGTCTTTTCTGTTTTGGGTTCTTCCATTTGTTATCATGTTGTAAGATCATGCTAAGATGATGTTGGGCTCTTTGTAGTCTGTAAATAGAACTTACAAAAGGAATATTCCAGTTGCTTTCTCTTCCTGGTAGTGGCAAGGTGACAGTTGTCAGTGACAAGAATGATGACGCCAGTGATGGCACCACTGTTGACCAAATTTGGTCACTGACCTTTAGGGTGGTATATTTATCTAAATTGGACCCCTGTCTTGAGTGATTCCTAGGTTAAGAACAAGGTTCACTACAGTTGGTTCTAAATTTTAAAAATCCAAAAACCAGTGTAGTGTGCTTTCTTGTTATGTATGCACTTGCCCGCTTGAGTCTCCTATCGTTGCTAAGAAACTAGTGAAATGCAAAGAACTACAGCAGAAAAAAGATGATGGAGGTGGCAAGGATATTTCTAGGTTTTTAACATTTTTTTCTGTCCAGTATTTTTTATTGCGCTCTTCCCTTGGGCAGTAGATCTTGGTAGTTTTCCTAAAAATGGTCATGAGTAGGAAACAAACGTTCCTAACCTTAACAACATGATACACCTTTTGTTCTTAAAGTATTTTATTTAAAAAAGCACGATAGAAGTGAAAATCACCCATTGCAGTACTTTGAAGTTTCACAAAATTGACACGGCTTCAAAGCTTCATTTTTGTATGTTTATATGCAGGGCAGACCCAAGGATCTATGCAGTCTTATGAAAACCATACCATAGAGGACTGTTAAGAACGCTAAATAAAGCAGGCCATTTCTTTAGTTCAGGTTATGGAAGACATTAATTTCTTGCCCTTTTTTGTTTTTTGGTACCGGGGATCAGACCTTGCGCTTGTGAGGCAGGTGGTGGAACCAGTGAGCTAAATCCCTGGCCCTAATTTCATGCCCTTTTTATAAAGTTGATAATGGGGGCAAGAGGCTACATTTTGGAGTAATTATGTACATAAATTCTGGCATGAGACTTCAATATCTCCCGTTAACCAAGGGGTGTAGCCATTAAAATTTAGTCCTTAAGAATCTTTTCTGTGGTTCTTGTTGCATAAAAATGAAACTTATAACAAGTTATTCAGCAACCTGAATCATTTACTCTATACCTCTTACATGTATCTCCATGATTAATTTAAATTTCTCAGCTCAAGGCCCTGAGTTCAATCCCTGGTACCAAAAAAAAAAAATTTCTCTGAGTGAATGGGTGCTGATTTGCCAGTTAATATAAGTGACCAGAGCTGTTTGATTATAGTTTCAATACATTGCCATAGGGCAAAATAAATGATATACTTGGAGATATTTTAAGGTTAGGTTTGTGCTGGCTACATAATTAATTTTGAAGCAGTCTCAGCTTTGGTAGTTAAATACTAACATCCAATAAGGTCATCAGGCATCTTTTAGGAGTTAATCAGCTAGTGTATACAAACCAAAGGTGAAATACATTTTCACTGAATTCTGCATATTATAACTTGAAGCAGTGTTTAGAAATAATGCCAGTTATGTGACAATAAACAAGCAATTGATTGAGTCCCTTTTGAGTGGTCAGTTTGAGTGACTATTAGTATGTAGAATTGATGATGTGGGGTTTTTGTTTTGTTTTAAACTTTGAAGTAATTAGGAGTTTATATTTTCTGACCACTTTTTTTTCTTCTTGGTACTTGGGATTGAGCGCAGGCCCTCTCCACTGAGCTACATCCCCAGCTCTTTTTCAGAGACAAGGTCTTGCTAAGTTGCCCAGGCTGCCTCAGCCTCCCTGAGTGCTGGGTTTACAGGTGTGTCCACCATGCCCTGCTCAAGTGGATTTTTTTGTTTTTTGGTTGGTTGTTTTCTTTTCTTTTCTTGAGACAATCTCGCTCTGTAATTCAGACTGGCCTTGAACTCCAGGCACCTCCAAGTGCTGGAATTATGGTTGTGTGTCACCATGCCTGGCTTGACGTTGCCTTTTTGGAGCTATGCTTTGGAGTTGAAGTCTGAATTCCTTTTTGGTTACTTGGAATTATTCAAGGAATAGGTGGTTATGTTACATTTTTATTTTATGAAATGCTAAATAGCAAGAGTAGTTAAGTACTTTAACATAGAATTCATTTAATTTGATTTTTTTGGGGGGGGGGGTACTGGGGATCAAACTAAGGTCTTTGTGCTTGTGCAGCAGGCAGTGAAACCACTGAGCTAAATCCCCGGCCCTAATTTGATTTTTTTTGACCAAAAATTTGCAGACGGAAAACCAGTTTTGATTTTCTTCATTGTAGCTGGCACTACTGCTGCATTGGACTTGACCTTTTCATTTCTTATTTATCTTTAAAAAAAAGGAACAGTACTGACTCTTTTGTGCTCAGTGTATTTCTGCTGGCTTAATAGAAAAAACATGGTAGATATTCAGGTTTATGGCGGAAGTGAGTAGGCAATACTTATGTACATAATTAAGTCCTATTGAAATTAAAAAGGATATTAGTGATTTATTTTAAACATGGAACTGAGTAGTAAACTGTTAACCGTTGCTAATATTTTGCTGTGGCAGAAAGTTGGAAATTGCATTAATATTTTTAATGCTTATATTCTGTAGAAAAAGTCAGTTTGTAAAGTGACCAAAATTTTTTTTTTAGTTATTTTGAGACATCTCCCTATGTAGTTCAGGCCCTTGAGCTCACTATGTAGTCCAAGCTGACCTTGAACTTGACAAAGAGTCTCCTGCCTCAGCCTCCCAAGTGCTGGCATTATAGGCCTGCCCCACAACACCCAGCCTAATTTTTTTTTTTAAATGGTCACTTGGAAGAAGTGAACTCTTCATTTTCCTTTGCATATGAACATTAGAAATTTTTTTTTTTGTTACCGGGGATTGAACTCAGGACCTTGTACTTGGGAGGCAGGTGCAATGCTACCTAGTTAAAACCCTGGCCAATGGTCTTGCTATATAGTCCAGGCTGGACTTGAACTCACTGTGTATCCCAGGCTGTCCTCAAACTCATGGCCCATCCTCCTGCCTCAGCTTCCCAAGTGCTGGGATTATAGGAGTGGGCCCCTATTCCCAAAACATGAGAAGTTTCTCTCTCTCTCTTTTTTGATAAATTTTATTTTATCCCATTCCCCCCTCAAAAAACAAATTAATTCTTAAGTGGTAGATACTAATTCTTTTTTTTTTTAAATTTTATTTTATTGGTACATTTTGGGTATACAATATAATGCCATTCATCATTGGAAATTTGCACCTTTACATAATCTCTCTTGGTTCTTTTTTTTCCCCCCTTTCTTCAACCCCTCCATACCCCCCTATTTACAAAGACTTTGTTTCCATTTTTTAATTTTCTTTCTTTTTTTTTTTTTGTACCGAGGATCGAACTCTGGTCCTTGCGCTTGCGCAGCAGGCAGTGAAACCACTGAGCTAAATCCCCGGCCCCACATTTTCTCATATTAATTCCATTCCCTTCTTTCCTTTCCGCTACCCCTCCCACATCCCCTTCCCCTTTGCCTCTTTTCTTCCTAATTCACATTATCTATTATACTTTTTTGTCCTTGTTTACACTTTCAGTTTCTCACACTAGAGAAACTGTTTGGTTTCACACTAGAGAAAATATTTACACATGTGTGTCCTATTTATTTCACTTAAGAGTATCACCTCTATGTGCATCCATTTAGCAATAAATGTCTCTATTTTCTTTTTTTTATGGCTGAGTAGTACTCCATTTTATTTTAAAAACCCACATTTTCTTTATCCAGTCTCCAGTTGATGAGCATTTGGGCTGTTTCTAAGCTTTAGCTGTTATGAACTGTGCCGCTATGAACATGGGTGCACATATATCCCTGTGGTATGATTCTTATAATTCTTTGGGGAAATCCCCAGCAGGGGAATAGTTGGGTCACATGGGACTTCCAGTCCTAGTTCTTTGAGGTATCTCCATACTGATTTCCACAGTGGTTGAGAAGTTTCTTAATTTGATACTCAGGACTATCTTTCACTTTTGTATTTCCATCCTCTTCTTGGATTATCAGCTTTGCCCTAAGTAACACATATGGATAATTGGAATGCCTACCTTGCCCCTTCTTCACTATTGTGCACCTGCCACAGACACTGAGGATACAGGTGTGAACAAAATGGATAAAGTCCCTTACCTGGAGAATAGTGCTATTGAGAAAAATAAAACACAAGAGAGCTCTGAAGAAGGGTATACATTTAAAGAGAAGAGTAAGTTTTTTTGTTTTGTTTTGTTTTTTTGGGTACCGGGTATCGAACTCGGGACCTTGCGCTTTCGAGGCTTGTGCTGGAACCAGTGAGCTAAATCTCTGGCCCTGAGAAGAGTAAGTTTTAATTAGGGTGGCTGGGTGATTTCCTTTAAGAAGCTGACATGGGGGGAAACTTTTAAAAAATAGTTTGAAGATGAAATTATTTTGACATATTTGTGGTATACACTTTCTGCTTTCTTTTCTTTTTCTTTTTTTTTTTTTTGTACTGGGGATCGAACTTGGGACCTTGTGTTTGTGTGGCAGGCACTGAAACCCTGAGCTAAATCCTTGGCCCTGTAGTATACTCTTTGAATTAATTTTGTTTCATTTTATCCCATTCCTCCTATATGCTCCCTCCCCTTCCTGCGTGCAGAAGCTTTGTTTTCATTTTTTCCTTCTGTTTTCACTTTTTTCTTGTCCCTTCCTTCCTTTCTGCCTCCCTCCTCCCTAGTTCTTCCCATTTGAACCCTTTCTTCCCATTTCCCAACATCCATTATACATCTCAGTCCTTATTACTACTTTTGATTTCTCATAACAGAGAAACAATTCGGTATTTAAACATGTGTGTCCAATTTATTTCACTTAAAGAGTATGGTCTCAAGGTCCATCTATTTAGCTATAAATGTCTGAAGGTCATCCTTAATGGCAGAGTAGTACTCCATCGTATTAAAAAACACATCTACTCGTCTGTTGTTGGGCATTTGGTCTGTTTCCAAGGTTTAGCTATTATAAACTGTGCTGCTATAAGCATGGATGTGCATATGTCTCTGTGGTATGATGCTTTTAATTCTTTCGGGAAGATACCAGGAAGAGGTATAATAGCTGGGTCAAAAGGAACTTCTAGTTTTAATTTCTTGAGAAATCTCTACACTGATTTCCACAGTAGGTGCAGTATGGTGTACTCTTTTTTTTTTGGTACTGGGGATGGAACTCAGGACCTTGCACTTGCAAGGCAGGCACCAGAACCACTGAACTAAATCCTGGGCCCCATGTACTCTTTTTCTTTCTTTTTTTTTTTTTTAAATAGTGTCTTGGTATATAGTTCACGCTGGCTTTGACCTCCCCTTGTAGCACAGGCTGCCCTTGAACTCGAAGCAATTCTCCTGCCTCAGCCCTCCTGGGTGTTGGAATTACAGCCCTGTGCTACCATGCCCAGCAAGATTGTGTTCTTAATCCTTGAAACATTGTAATGTTTGTATATAAGCCTTGTATCTGAATCAAAAAAGAATAAGTTCCAATTTATTTTTCTCAAAGTGGTATAATTTTTGGTTCCCATCTCAGAAAATTTGCATAATACTTTTTGGTGACCCTTTCTATCATTTACGTATAGTGCTTAGTTCTCATTTGCTCTTTATAAAGTTCTTCATTTAAATTTCTTCGTTTATTGAGCTAGTATTTGAATCTCCAAAGGCACAGCCTGAGTTTCTGAGGCTATAAGGAGGATATAAATGTGCTTAAGATCTCTCTTCTTGGGGTGCTGGGTGTTGAACCCAGGGCTTCCATCATGCTAAGCATGTGTTCTACCACAAAGCTACATCCCCAGCCCCCTTGCTCACCTTTTTATGTTCTTGTTAAAGAGCTTGATTCATTTGTTATTCGAACATATCAAATACAGATAAGCAAGTCACAGTACCATCTCTCAGTTTATAGCAGAACACCCATTTTCATCTTGGGTTAAAATTTGCTTTATTCATTATATGTCCTATCAGAAGTTATGGTCTGGGCATTTAGCTCAGTGGCACAGAGCCTGCCTGGCAAGCTCGAGGTCCTCTGAGTTTGATCCCTGGTACCAGCAACAACAACAAAGTTAGTGATGAGCCAGACATGGTGGCACATGCCTATAATCCTGGGGAAACAGATGAGGATCACAGATTTGAGTCCTATCTGCTTAACTTAGCAAGAACTTGTCTCTAAAATTAAATAAGTAGGGTGTAGACATAGAGCATCTCTGAGTTCAGCCCCCAGTACTGGGGGAAACAAATCAGTACCATTTTTCAGTGCTGGGAATCAACCTGGGAATCAACCTATTGACCTGATAGGCAAGGGCTCTACCACTAAACTACATTCCAGTCCCTGAGATTAATTTTGTGGATAACATTCAAAGGTAGCCTATTCTACCCTATTTAAACAGTTTACAGTGTAGTATTCTTCAGCAGGTGGTTCCTTTGAATATATTGGCAAATTTGAAATTTTGAACTTGCTTAATGTTAGCCTCAAAAGGAAGAAGAAACACTATGCCAAAAATTATACAACAGTAGCCTTTTCCATTTTTCTTTGAAATGGTTTATGAAGTGTTAATTACCTTTTTGCTCTCAGTATTTAAGTTCATATACTACTGTTTGGGGCTTTGTACCTTAGAGGTTGTATGAAATTTTGTTTGATTTGTTTATGTATTCAGTAAATATATATTGAGCTTTAACTGTGTACCGTAGACTGTTACCCTACGGAGAGCTAACCATGAACACGAGGGAGTACAGATGCTAATCCTTACATTCACCTATTCTCAGAATTTTTAGAAACATTTTCTTCCTCTCCTATATACAGTCTTTTGTCCAATTTAGGATAAGCTTTAGTGATGAACTGACCTTATCCTACACTTGATCTTAGCCAAAAGACTGAGAAGCAATACCCTTATCCTGATGCTAATAAGGCATGTATGTTTTGATAATGTCACTCATCCATTTTTCCTTCTCTTTGTCTAACTCCTCTCCCTCATCTCATGGAGTCATGTCAGCATCATCTTCCCATTTATACAACTTAAGAGGTTTGCTTATCAGAACTATTAATGACTGCACAACATAATCTGAATATGATTGACAAGATTGGTTAATTAAATATGGTTGATCTTCATTTTGGGTTGTAACTTATTTTTTTTTTTGAGACAGGGTCTCACTCTGTAGTTCAGGCTGGACTTGAACTCACTATGTAGCTGAGGCTGGCTTTGAACTCACAGTGATTCTCCTGCCTCTGTCTCCCGAGTGCTGGGATTACAGGCATGCACCACCACACCTGGCTCAGGGGCTGTAACTTTAATTCTTTGGGTTTAGGGGTTTTGAGGTATTTTTTGAAGTTTGTGGGAAACTCGTGGTTGTCCATTTTAAATTGGTTTAGATACCATCTGTCCATCCTAAAGGATTTTTCACTAGTTTCTCACCAAGCAGCAGTTTATCTGTAGAAACTACTGTCAGACTTTCAAATAACAGTATGATTGTGTTTTGTGCATATAAACAGACTCATAGAAGAAAAGCCTACTGCATTGTACAAACTAAAATTCTTTTTTTTTTTCATTTGTGGTACTGAAATTCTTACATTTGATAAGTACCACTCTTGAAAAGAAATGCAGATTTCTTGAAAAGTAAGAGGTTTACTCTGATATTCCTCATTGCTTGCCTTAGTCCTTTCCTTCACTCAGCTATTAAGGGAAATAGCTTTAAGTTTGGTTTGGCTGCCAAGAACGAAATTCATTCTCAGCCTAACAAGGTGTGAAGCTTAATCTTACTGTCAGTAATGCCTTGCTGACCTTTTGCAAAGGCCCTAGTCACTCTTCAAGTTGAGCAATTTTTCTCCCCTAAGAACTAATTAAGTTTCTTGTTTGATATTCTCTCCTTGGAAAATGTTTGGAAGGCTAATATCAGCAGCTGTGGTCCTGCAACTTTGAAAATTTATAGCTTCCTGGAGAAGTTTTGGTTCTGGCATTAGGCCTGGCTGTAGCATTAGGAATATCTTGTTGGAAGCCTCCTACAGCACTTGTCATATTCATTCTGGTTTTCTTCCTGTCTTAGTTCACTAGCTGTCAGTGATTGGCATATATCAGGACCTGAGCTCTGGTACTTCTTGTTTTATTTTGATTTTCCCTGCTCAAAATGATTTGTTAATTTACTGTTAACCCACTTGTAAAATTCATACTGGGCCTTACCTTAATCGTCTTTCCAGTCATTGGCTATGTGTAAAAGCTCATTTTCTATAGTATTCCACTAAGTACATACATACATAGTTAAGTGGTTTTATTATTGCCATAAGTCATGTTAGAAAGCATGGTTGCATTGTTTACTGAATAGATCTTTCGAAGAAAAGATTTTATTGTGAAGCACATTTTAAACGTTTGAAAAACAAAAAGTAAATTCCATCTTTCACATTGAATCAGTAGAGGGTTAGGCTTCCACAAAAATGACTACTGACATTTGGAATCTGTCAGGACCCTGGTCCTGATGAGTTTTAACCATTTATGTCATTGTTGGCTATGCTCTTTATTATCAGCATTCATTGTATTGGTTTCTTTTTTTGTATTATTTTCATAGTTGCTCAGTTATGAAATACAGTGTGGCTGTTAACTTGAGGTTCTTAACGAGGTTTTGTTGTATAAGCTAAAAGATTAATCCTTTGTTCATTTTTCTTGGGCAGTGTTCTGTGCCCAGATATAATTTAGGTCATATTCAAGTGAGGTTAAATTTTTTTTTTGGTACCGGGGATCAACTCAGGCGCTTGCAAGGCAGGCGGCAGCACCACTGAGCTAAATCCCCAGCCCTTAGGTCATGTTAAAGTACTGTGTTGCTATACTGGATGTCACATGATGAATAACCTTAAATACATTCCCAGTCTCAGAACAACTTTGTAGCGGTTCTGAGGTAACTTTCACTAATACCATTGAAAATAATTGGTATTGTTTAAGCCAGTGGTCAAGGAAACTGTTTTTACTATGATTTATGCCACATGTGGATGTTACTTGATAGTATATTAACTGAGTTGACATGGCTGTCGTTTACCGTTTACCTTAATAGAATCAGGGATTTTTTTTGGTTTGGTTTTTGTTTAGTGAGACAGGGTCTCATTATGTAGTTTAAGGTCGCCTTGAACTCAGTGTAGCCCAGGGTGGCTTCACACTCAGCCTCCCAAGTGCTGGGACTATAGGTATGTGCCACCACGGCCAGCCTAAATGAACTCTTTTTTTTTTTTTTTTTTGGTACCGGGGATCGAACTGAGATCCTTCTGCTTGCAAGGCAGGCAGCGGAACCAGTAAGCTAAATCCCCAGCCCCCTAAATGAACTCTTAAAGGTATTGTTAAATTAGTTTTCAAATTTTTTATATTACCACATTTTGCCATTTGTTACTGGAGAATTTAAGAAAGATGTTTATCATAATTGCTTTAGTGCTAGCCACTTTTGTTGCACAAGTGGCACTAAGCCTAAAAACACGTTAACAGTTTTAACACATGCCATTTATCTTCTAGGTTTTGGCTTGGTTTGAAGAAGGTGAAGAAACCATTACAGCCTTTGTAGAACCTTTTGTAATTCTACTTATATTAGTAGCCAATGCAATTGTGGGTGTATGGCAGGTAAGCAAAAATTTCTGCAGTGCTAAATTGAAGTTTTTTTAATTGAAGTTTATATAAGTGATTTTAGAGTGCTAATCTTTTATCTCTTTTCCTGTTAATGTTGAGTAAAACTATGTTGAAAGTCTAATTTTTTTCTTCAGTTTATTTAATGGCAAATTTTAGACCTTGTATGTGTATTTTGCTGTTAAAATTGCTCATCCTTGGGCTGAGGGGTGTAGCTCCATTGGTAGAGTGCTTACCTAGTATCTGTGAGGTCCAGAGTCAGATCCCCAGCACAACAGAAAATAAATTTCTCATCTTTTTTTGCTAACAAGGAGTTTGGGGAATGGATATTTGGGCATGGTGAGGTTCACTTCTAATCCCAGCACTCAGAAGACTGGAATGGAGGGATTGTTTGAGCCCAGGAGTTTGAGGCCAGCCTGGGCAATATAGTAAGACCCCTGAATCATAACACAACAAAAAAGAAAATGGATGAGAGATCCAGGTGTGGTGGCACATGTTTATAATCCCAGCACTGGGGAGGCTAAGGCAGAAGGATCTCTGCAAGTTCAAGGCCAGCCTGAACTACAGAGTGAGACTGTCTCAGAAACAAACAAAAAAGAAATTGGATGAGAGAAACTACTTAAGGAAATCAGAATTCTAACATGAGAACCAGTATCTGTCTTTGTTTCCTACTTGCTTCCTGTGATGGACTTTATAATCTTAGCATTATTTTTATTCTCTTTGGATTTGGGGGGAACTTTAGCTATACAAATTGTTTTAATCATAAATTATTTTCTTTCCAGAAATTACTTTCGGACTTTTTTTTTCTCAACCGCGCAGGCTTTTCTTAGCAATGGAATGGAAACTAGTTTTACTACAGAAACTTAAGGCCACTCCTTCCCCTTTATCTAATTGTTAGATAACTGTTTTAGGACTGTTGATCTTTTAGATTTGTTTTTCTAGATTTTAACCTCAAATTAATACTTCACATTTAAATATTGATCTCTTAGGCTTCTGATAGATACAATCACTCTACAGACTAAAATAGAGTATGACTGTTACTCTATTTTTTGTTTGATTTGTGGCACTGGAAATTGAATGAACCCAGGGCCTTTGCATTGATCTATTATCTTCCCCTCTCTTTTTTTTGAGACAGTCTCAACTAAGTTGCCCAGGCTGGGTTTGAATTTGGATCCTCCTGCCTCAGCCTCTCAGAGTGCTGGGATACAGGCATGTACTGTACCACCATCGTGCTCACAGTATCTCTTCTTAAAGTGGAAACATTTTATAAACACACATTCTTATTGGAATTGTTAACTTTAATTTTATTAATAAATGTGATTATGTGGTGGGCTCCTGTAGAAAGATGGCCCTTTTTTTTTTTCAGTGCTAGGGATCTGATTTAGGACCTTGTGCAAAATAGGCATCTATTCTGCCACTTAGCTGGAATCTCAACCTTTTAAAAGAAATTGGTGTGGGGTTGTGCTGGGGATTAAGCCCAGGGCCTTTTAAGTGGTAGACAAGCATTCTTCCACTGAGCTACACATCTCTGACCCTTTTTGAGACAGGGTCTAACTAAATTTTCTGGGCTGGTCTCAGCCCCCTCTGAGTGCTTGGGGCTATAGGCATGCATTATCACACAAGGGTAAAAGAAATTTCTTTTTTTTTTTTTTGAGGCATGATCTCACTATGTAGTTCAGGCTGGGCTCGAATTTGGGGGTGATCCTTCTGCTTCAGCCTCCTGAGTGCTGGGATTACACTTGTGGGCCACCACACCTGGCAAGAAATTTCTAATCATGTTGTCTTTTGGTGTGTGTGTGTGCGCGCGTGCACTGAAGATAAAATCTAGGACATTGGGCCTGCTAAGGACATATACTATCACTGACTTCACCCTCTCCCTCTCTCTGCACCCTAAATATACCTTTTGATTGAGTTGAGGGGAGGCAAGAAAGACTATTGAGGAGATTTTGTCATTTTTATCCTCAGGGTCTGAGCTATGTAACTTATTTAACCACTTAACAGTTTACCCCAGCCTTACTTGGGCAGTGCATTTGTTTATGTACTGACTACCCTAACCATTGCTTGGGCAGGTGTCATTTCAACCAGTTGATACATTTGATAAAGTTGTTTTTATATTTCCCACTATATTATCTTATAAAAATTAATGAAAAAATATGCAATTTTTGGTCATCCTATATTTAAATAATTGGACTGGTAAATGGTTAAATGCACTGTTGCTAGTTCTAGTAGGAGCAAATTACAGTGTTCTTGGAACATCTCCTTGACCTTGATCAGGCAACTTGAAAATTGTCATTACTTAAGGGAGTAAGCCTGTGTGCTGTGTGACTTACCTGCAAGCACATAGCTTTAAATGAAGCACCTCAATGGAACTTGGGTAGCCTAGCTAAAGGCTGTCCACTGTCCTGCCTTTAGTGTGAGGTGGAAATGAGTGGAGAGGTGGCTGGAGGTGAGGGTTGTGTTCTGCGGTGTGCCTAGGGACAACAGGCTCCTGTGCTGGTGTATAGTTTCATTCCCTTAGCCTGCTTGGGCTGTTACAGTTTTAAAATAAAATCATGTGCCCTTGTAAAATGTTTATTGCCTTAAGGCAGTGATGGTGAACCTTTTAGAGCTTTCAGTGATAACAGCCTGCTGCAGCACATGTGCTGAAAGTTCGCTACCACTGCTTTAAGATGTGAGTTGTTTAATTACTGCAGGTGTCATTAGTGTACTTCTATTGTCTTTTTTTCTTTTTAAATTTAAATTCTAAAATTTTAATTCCTGAGCTGGAAATACTTGCATTAGCAGGAAGGGTATTTATAATGTTTATTTTTTGTTTTCTTTTATATAGGAAAGAAATGCTGAAAATGCAATTGAAGCCCTAAAGGAGTATGAGCCTGAAATGGGCAAAGTGTATCGACAGGACAGAAAGAGTGTACAGCGGATTAAAGCTAAAGATATAGTTCCTGGTGATATTGTAGAAATTGCTGGTGAGTTGAGTTTGTTGTTTTTCTTTTTTGTGTATTTCTGAATGTAGTCCTTTTCCCAAGGCTCATACTTATATTTAAAATAATCAGTTGTGTTACATTTTTGCATCATCCAAAGATCCTGTTTTTGTAAGATTATTTTGACATGTTTTGGCACCTCCTTTCATATTGTTGGTGTTTAGGGGTGCTTTTTGAGTTGGGAGTCTTCCTGTGTGGCCAGGTTGGTCTTCAACATTTGGGTTTAAGTGATTTTCCTACCTCAAGCTATGGAGTAGTTGGGACTGTAGACATACATGTCTGCCCTGCTGACTTTTGTTTTTAAACGAGGAGTTGGAGTTACTGTACTTCTAGTGCACACACATTGTAGAACACTAGTGTCAGAAAGGTGAGACTGCCTATTTGTTTGATAGTAGTGGTGAGCAGTTTGCTAGAACACTGCTTAATGGTGTTTCTGATTTCTCACTGGGACACACACAATACCTGCCACAATAGAAGGGAGGAGAGCTTTATTTTGGCTCACATTTCAGAAGTTTTTGTACATGTTTGGCAGCCTTAAACACAGCAACTGCATGCTAGGAGGCCCTAGGTAGAGGAAAGGAGCCGAAGTCCTAGTGCCAGGAAGCAGAGAGAGATACGCTTCCAAGTCACCCCCAAAGACCCCCTGTAATCAAGTCCCACCTAAGACAAGTTAGCTTTAGCCCCCTGAGGTGTCAGGATTGGAAGGTACATTCTCGATCCAAACTACAACAAATGGCTAATGGTTCCCCCTGCCTTTGGGTCTTTGCACAGATGTTAAGTTATACCAGTACTTGCAGCTATGATATTGAGTTGATGGGTTAAGGGTAATCTCATGACTAAAAGCCATGCTTAAAAACACTTATGTATCACATTGAGCCAGGGATATTGGATCAGTCTCATGCTTTCAGACAGCCCAGAATCAGGATGATGCTGTTGGAACCAACCAGTCTTAGTTTTTATTTTGTTTTTGGCTGTTTGTGTTGTTGTTTTTGGTTTTTTTTTGGTACCAGGGATTGAACTCGGGACCTTGCGCTTTCAAGGCAGGCGCCGGAATCACTGAGCTAAATCCCCGGCCCTATTTTTGGCTGTTTTATTTATAGAAAGTCATTATATAGGATTATTCAGATTATCATAGCTTTTCACACTCTGAGCTGAGCACACTTTTTTTTTTTTTTTTTGGTACCAGGTATCAAACTCAGGACCTTGCACTTGTGAAACAGGCGGTGGCACCACTGTGCTAAATCCCCGGCCCCTTATTTCTTTGATAATTGTCTCAGTAATGCTTTAAGTTGATGTAGGGAAGGTAGCTTTGTCTATATTGTCCTATCTTTATTGTCCTTTTAATGAAAAGAATTGAAAGAGATGCATCTTGCAGCCTGTGCTGTATAGCTTTGTTGTTTGAAAGGAAATTGCCTTGTCATTGCTGTTTATTTTTCCAGAAAAAAAGGGGAAGTGTTGGGTATATACCAATAAGTTGATTACCTGGAACTGCAAAGTTTGTGCATGTGAATGACTTGAACAGTGTTAGCAGAAGTACAATTCAAGATGAAGTATTTGGGATGTTGGATTCTTTCTTTTCTCTCTCTCACACTTTCTTTCTTTGAGACAGGGTCTCACTGTGTAGTCCAGGCTGGCCTGGAGCTTCCAGTAATCCTCCTGCCTCAGCCTCCCAAATGCTGGGATTACAGCTGTGTGCCACCATACTTAGCTAAAGATTTTTTTAAATAAATAATTTCAAACTTAAAAGTTCAAGAAAGTAAGAGAATCACCTAGATTCTTCAGATGTTAAGATTTCATCACATACACATTTTTAATCTGTGTATACATGCATACTATTGCCTGAACTGTTTGTGAGTACACCAGGTGTGTTGTCCCTTTACTCCTAACTACTTTAGTTTTGTAAAATGAAGGACATTTTCTTATACAACCATCCTACTATATATCTAATCTATAGGCCTTATTCAGAATTTACTATTTGTCACTTTTAATAGCAGAAAATGTGTTAGGGAATTCTGATTGTGTCCTAATAAATAGGTCAGAATAGGGAAGGTAGGGAGAGAGAGGCCCTTTTAACAAACCAGGCAAAGAATGAAAGGTTAGTAGCATTAAAGATAATGAGGGAGAGGTTTTGTGTGTGTGTGTGTGGGGTGCCACGAATGAACCCAGGGTCTCATATGCTAGGCAAGCCCTCTACCACTGAGCTACACGTTTGTTTTTTTTTTTTTTTTTTGAGACAGTCTTTCTTTGTATTCCAAGCTGGCCTTGAACTTACGATTCTTCTGCCTCAGGCTCCCAAGTGCCAGGATTACAAGTGTCCGGCACCATGCCAAGCATAGTCTTTTTTTTAATGTAGAGAGAGGGTCTTTCTAAAGTGCCCAGGCTGGCCTTGGACTTGGTAATGTGGCTCTCTTAGCCCTCCAAGTAGCTGGGATTATAGGTATGCACCACTAAACCTAGAAAAGGAGAGTTTATGAATAGTAATTCTTAACAGGAGTATACATCAGAAACGTTTAGCCTTCCAAAAGTTTTTCCCAGGTCTTAACCAAGAATATTAGCTCTGACCTGCCTTGTGGTGTGGAATTATGATCATGTGTAGTTGAAAACTGAGCCTTTGACTTATGTGCAAAGAACAGGTTTTGATCTCTTGAGTAGATATGGGGGTAAATGGGGGAGCATGCAGAATAAAAGGTCCTTGGAGGACTTCTAGGTCAGTTGAAAGGATATGAGAGTGCTAGTAATGGAGTAAGAAAAAAAGAAAATAGTTTTGTCTTTCCATAAATATATAGTAGATGGGGTTGCAGATAGCTTTGTCTAAGTATATGTGTGAGTTTTGGTTTGACGGTTTGCTTACCATTCCTCCAGCTCCACCTGGGAATATGCAGTTTTACCCTCTCAAATGAAGAAAGAATGTTTTATGCTTGGGTCTACACAAAGACTTACATTACCCCACAGTGTTTCTCCTGAGTTTACATCTGAGGAGGACAGTGATAAACAACACACAGGAAGCTGCACCCTTGCTACAAGGCATCGTCTCTTTGGAAGAAATAAACTAAGGCTAGCTTCTCTTCAGTGTGGGTGGCTTTGGTTTTTCTTTTCCTCTGAATCCTATTCTCTGTAGTCTTTCCCATTCTGGGAAGTCATTTTAACAACCTAGTTGACTGAGAAGTTGGGGTGTTTTTTTTTTTTTTGTCCCAGGACCAAACTCTATGCTTGCGAGGCAGGTGCGGTGCCACTGAGCTAAATCCCTGGCCAGTTGAGGTTTTCCTGATTCTTACCTTTCTTACACTCTGATTTGTCTGTGAGACCATTGACTGGACCAGGAAACACCCAAGTGTTTGACTGTCCCTGCCTCCTAGCCATCAACTCACCTGTGATTGTCATCCTTTCCTAAGGGAGCTCCAGCTTTTACTGTTGTCTTCCAGTCCATTCAGCACAGCAGTCAGAGCAGTTTCTTAAAAGGCATGCCATTTATTCTTCTGTTGAAAACCCTTAAGTGGTTTTCTCACCGCACTTGAAATACAAAATTCTTTGACCTAATAGATTTTGCATTATATAGCTTCTGCTAACTTCTGTAATTTCATTTTTTGCAAATACTGGGGATCTAACTCTGGCCTTGTGCATGCTGGACAAGTGCCCTGGTTGTTGCTGAGCTCATCCCCAGTCTCTTAGGCAGTTCCTTTATGCTCACCCATATAGGCCTACCTTTTCTTTTCTTTTCTTTTTTTTTTTGAGCCAGGATCTCACTGTGTAGCCCAGGCTGGCCTCAAACTCACAGCAGTCCGCCTGCCTCAGCCTCCCAAGTGCTGGGATTACAATGTGTGCCACATGCCTGGCAGGCCTCCCTTTTAGTACCACTAAACTTCTCACTTTTTTTCAGAAAGGCATATTTTTATAGTTTGTTAATTTCTCCAGTGTGCAAATCTCAGAGGGAAGCTTAGGTTATGGCCTAATCTACCTGACCCTTCATGTGCACTATATAATTCCATTCTTTGTATTGTATTAGTTTTATATGTTGGATTTTATAGCTTAGAAAGGACAAATGATAGTTGATCCATAATGTGTGTGATCTGAGGTTTTCAGTCTTCTGGAGTTTCTTTTTTTTTTTTGGTACCGGGGATCAAACTTGGGACTTTGCGCTTGCAAGGCAGGCAGCAGCACCACTGAGCTAAATCCCCGGCCCTCTCTTTTGTAATATAAAATAGGCACAACAAAATTTACCATGTTATCTGTTTATACGTTTTTAAGTGTTTAGTTCTGTGTGTTAACTAGAGCCATATTGTTGTGTAGTCACCACCACCATCCATCACCAGAACTTTTTCATTATCTCTCAACTGAAACATATTTCATTTGCCTCTTCCTTGGTCTCTAATACAACCATTCCCCATCTTTTAATATAGAGAAGTTTAATCAAAAGCCATTTAATATTTAAAAAGATAAGGTTTAAATCCTCATCTTAGAGGAACATATTATCTACTACTGCTACAGAATACATACAGTTCCCTTTTGCCTGTTTCTGAAACCTTCCTGGGAAGTGCTAATACTTTTTCTCTCCCACTCTTCTACACAAGCACTCTGAAATCTTACGCAGTACTTCTCTGTTGGGCTCATGCATACTATGCTTTCTTGAATTTTGACCTAGTTTTAGATAACAGGTATTTTGTTAAACACTCCTGTCATGCTACTAGGCAATGATCACCTTAAGGGCAAACTGTCATATTGACTGTTGTAACCTTGGCTGGAGATGTCATAAGTTTTTTAATGACTGAAATGTAAAATCAAGAGTAGAGAAGGTTCAGCTAGTGTATACATGCTACATGCTTGTGCAGAATATAGCATGTGTTCTGCAATAGCACTATATGGATATTGTGATAGCTTTGCAAATGTGTGATATTTAACCATCAACTACTCTATAGATACATGTTCACATTTTATTATTCAGGAAATGAGTCTTTGTGATTTATTGCATCTGACTTCAACTACAGCTA